CACTTCTGTAATTGAGGTGAATATACCATATTTGCTCTTATTAGAATCACATCTCTAATTGAGGTGTATGTACCATAAAAACTTAAATTTTGACCGCCTGTAAATAATAAGTTTTTTTAAAACTGGTTGAGGTTTTGAAATACAAAATTTATGTTGACATTTATAACTGGTCGAATTTTCATACTAAAAATCATTGATTATAAAATCATTAGATGGCATATAAGGTGCATTATTTGTTCTCAGAAAATTTCCGTCAATACACAATCATTCGCAATATTCATGGCCCAAAAAACAGATTATGACAGATTCATTGTGCTAATTCATTTCATCTGTATTCATCATGAAAGCTTTTAAAACTATTTCAGTACTCTTTTTACTTTAATAATGTCCCACATACGCTATATAGGAAGCACATATTCTGTGGAGAGGTGCATAGTGAGGCTGGTGAAAATTATAATATGCATACTCGAATACAAAATTTGAAAATGGATTTTTAGCTCCGCTGTCGACTTTGTCGAGCGGAGCTTATCATATGCGTGATTGTCCATTGTCGTCCGGCGTCTGTTGTTCTGTGTCAATGTTTTACTTTTTTGACTTCTGCTTGGAAACTACAAGTCTGATTGGTTTGATATTACATATATACATGTATAGGTACTACATGTGGAATTCTCTCAGATTTGTTCATTTTGTGATATCTTTAATTCTCTAATTTTGGTGAATAATTTTGTAATTTTTGGTAAAAAGTAATATTTTTCAACTTCTTGTTAAAAACCACAAGTCTGATTGCTTTGATACTATATATATAGGTACCTCAGGTAAATCTCTTTCAGATTTGTTCATTTCGTGATGATATCTTTAATTATCTAATTTTAATGATTATTTTTGTAATTTTTGGTAAAAAGTAATATTTTCAAATTCTTGTTGAAACCAGCAAGTCCGATTGCTTTGATACTATACATATTGTTCATTTTCTAATGATATCTTCAGTTCTTTAATTGAAATGTGTATTGTAACAGCGGAGCTATCTCAGTCGACAGGCTGCTTGTTTAGTCCCTGTTCGGACGTAGTCTGAAAACAGGGACTTATGGATTGACCTCTGTGCGTCCATGTATCCATGTGTGCGTTCGGACCTATATCTTAGATATGCCAGGGCCGATTACATTCAAACTTCATAAATACATCATACACAATATTATACGAATGCACATTAATTTGTTTCATGATCTGATTAATGATGGCTAAATGGCAGCCATTTTTGTGATGGAAAATCATCAATATCAAGCATTTATGGATGGATTTCTTTAAAACTTTTACCTTTTATTTTGTTGACGTCACTTCATTATGCAAATTAGTCTACAATTGAAATGCTTATTACAGTTAAAAAAAAACGTGCTAAAATGTAGAGCTCCATTTGCCAAAGCGTGTACAAATTGTTGCCTCGATTCCCAACTTTATATTTAAAAAAAAATGAGATTGTGTGTCACCAATAAAAAAAAGAACAAGCGTAGATCCAGAGTTTTCTTTGGGTTCACTGAGCACGGACAAATTAGTTGCGTAATTAAAAATGCTCAAAATGTCTGTCTGTGTCATTCTTGTCAGCGTAAGAAGAGAAAAGAAGGAAAAATGTGTGTCGAACCAAAGATCCATTGTTTTAAAACGCACGTATTACAATTTTGCGTAACTGCCATGGTGTCCAAAACTGTGGGATTAAAGGTTACTTTGTTCTAGAAATAAGATTGGGAGAAAGGAAAAAAAGCGATGCAGAGTTAACGTTTATTTAACGAACGTACGTTTTTATTTTGTTTAACTACCGCTTCAAAATGCATGGAATTAAACTTCATATTGGCCCAGAAGTCACACTGGGAAAAAGTAAACAAAAAAGGTTCGCTTGCTATCGGCCGTAACATGTACATGCCAGTGTTTTGAAAACGAGAAGGGAACAAGACACCGATGTGTGGAAAGACGATATTACTGTTCAATTGGAGTATTCTGCAATCGTTCCTGTCATCCAAAGTCGCCAGTCAGTAACTACTTGTAAGCCTAGGGCACTATTCAATAAATCTGAGGCTTCAGCTTGACATGTGACATTTTGTGTGTGTGTGTTAGTCTGAAATAAAGTCATTCGGACAAGTACACGATATTATTAAAAATAGATTTGCTACAGTTCCGTGAAACTCAATGCCTTGGTTTGATTTTGTTCGAAGATATATTGCTGTGTATTGAAGTGATCCCTCGCTTATCAAATGGTCGGATCCAAAGAACAAAATTGAAAACACAGCAGATCTTTGAATTAGAATGTCTCTAGACCCATCCCCGTCCTCCATAAGAGGACACGTTTTGGCAGTGAACTCTCATACCACAAGCGAAGACGTTGATGTTTTATCCGTCCAAACTTATCGAATCTACTTTTGCAGTGCTATTATTTTTTTCCTGTCAACATGCCTCGCCAATCGAAGAGAATGCGTAAAAGAGGTAAGCACTGTTTTACCATGGTTTTACTTAGTTGTGGACGCAGAGCCAGCCCAATGTATTACTGTTATGTACGGCGCATTTGTATGAACAAGCTGCAGTTTTTGATCGCGTGTTTTATTTTCAGGTTTTTATTTTAATTCGAGACGGCGACTCATTTTCGAAATCCAATCCATCATTTTTACCGACAACATCTGTTGTTATTGTTTCCAATACCGGTACCGTAATCATAACAAACGTGCCGATTATATTTTAACAGCGACCTAAACAAACATCGGTTTTCACTGTATCACCTAATTACCCTAAGAAATAACTGATGGACCTTGGATACCATTCGAATGCTCGACTGAAATAAATACACCTTTATTTTTGCAGACCCAAAGTTTATACTAGTCCAATTTAAATGTGACAACAAATTATTGGTGTGTAAATCTCAGAGAGTGCATTCGGGCGTTGTCACAGCAGGTGGCGAAATTTATTTGAATTGAAAGAAGGGCCCACTAATGGTAAAAATCTTACAAGTGTCTGGTAAGTTTCAAGATAAAAATATGTTTTTTTATTGCATCCTTATAAACACAATATTTCTGTCGGTGATAGCAATTTAATATATATAAACTGCATAAAAATGTCAAAATAAAAAGAGACTCTACATCACAAATAAAAAAATATATATAAAAATGTATACAGGTAAATCAACTGTGTTTCTCTCCAACAAATCGGGATAATAAATTCAATTTTTCGTCATTACTTCTGTGTCTGGGTGTACTACAACAAAGTCCAACTTTTACATTTAGTTTGATTGTTAATATGCAAATTACATGTGCTAAATTTCTGTAGTGAACAATGACAAGTTTTTGTAGATTATTACATTGTAAATGGTTGTTTTGATGGGCGTTATTGCAAAATATTCAAGTGTTCATCACTAGTTATTATTATTATTGTTAATTATTTTAGACATTGAAAGAGACTTGAAGGATGAAGAGAAAAGAATTGTGGACGAGATTTTGGCAAAGGAGGTGCCACCAACAACTGGAGAAATGCAAACGATTGATCAAGGCAAACAGAGGAATAAAAAGAGTTCACCAGTGAAAAAAAATATATCCAAACCAAAAGTGGTTAAAAGAAAAAATACTCCAAAGCCAAAGGTAAACCATTTTTTATTTCAAACGCCTCTCTGTCAGGGGTTTGCCACACACAAAAAATGGCTAGCTCTATCATTAGCAAAACAGTGTTGTGGTCACAGTGAATGAGTTCGATACACAGTTTAGTTTAAGTGAATTTAGGTTAATTTTGTTTTCATTGAAGGATTAAATCTTTCTAAAATGTATTTAAAAAAATTTGGGTTTCCACAGTAATAGTATCAAAAAATATGATGCACATAGACATTAACCCTTATTTTTTAAAGTGAATGTGAAAGTATATGCTGGTACAGCAGTGAACTGACTGTAGCTGTGTCATCCCACTTAAGAAATTCTGATGTGACAATTACTTTGTTACTTACAAATTTTTTCTAACAATTAATTTTATATATTTTCCTGTAGAAACCACATAATTTTATATGTCAGGCAAAACAGTCAACTGTTCCAGCACAGACATTTAATTTCCCAGGATTTGCTGAAGGAGTTAACCTACTATCCCCTGCAAAGCAACAGGAGCTCCAACATCTCCTAGACAGAGAACCAACAACATCATCCATCAGTACAGCAACTACAGAGACCAGTGAGTCACCTGCAACGCCGACACCATCCACCAATGCAACAATTCCGACACCATTCACCGACGCAACAACTCCAATGCCATCGACCAGCACAACTCTGCCGCCATCGACCAGCACAACTCTGCCGCCATCGACCAGCACAACTCCAACGCCATCGACCAGCACAACTCCAACGCCATCGACCAGCACAACTCTGCCAATGTCATCGACCAGCACAACTCTGCCAATGCCATCGACCAGCACAACTCTGCCAATGCCATCGACCAGCACAACTCTGCCGCCATCGACCAGCACAACTCTGCCGCCATCGACCAGCACAAATCCGATGCCATCGACCAGCACAACTCCAACGCCATCGACCAGCACAACTCCAATCTACCAATCCGCAGCAGCTTGTATCTCACCACAATCACCATCGCCACCTCCAAAAAAATGTGACTGCAATTTTGAATTGATGTACAAAGAACTGCAATTGTACATAACAAAATTGATGCGTTAAGAAAGGATTTGGCACAGCCTTCTTTAGATTTTTCCTTTGATGAAGTACCTTTTTCCGAACTTTTAAATTCACATACTCAAACACCTCATGAAAATGCTACAGAACACCCACAACAACCTGCTTCACACCCAACACAAACTGCATCCAACAGAAGAGACACAGACACAAATCCAACAAACACCAACCCAGGATGCACCAACACCAATTAGACCAGAAATTGTAAACACTGCACTATTTGGTTCTAATTTTCGACACCATTTTGCAAAACGTTTATTGTTTCAGGTATTTACAAAGGAGGAAAGATTAGGTTGTAATGTGTATGGCTGCACAGGCAGCAACGGTGTAATTAAACATCCTCTTAGCCCTAATAGGGTTGCACAAGTGAAAGAGGCAGCTTTTATTCATTTTCCTGCACCAGAACTTAGAAAAGCCAGGACATGGGCAGGCTGTGTTGAGGAAATAAATAAAGCCCTTCGCCAAGAATTGAGACGATCTTTGTTGAGATAGATTGTGCTTTTATTTTAAAAAGAAATGTATGTTTTTACTTTTAGCCACAGTTGCAAATGTTAATAAAAATAATATTTTCAACACAAATATTTTGTGTACTCCTTGACACAAAATGGTCTGACTCTACTGTATGAATTTTCATAATTAATAATTTTGTAATCCTGCCAAAAAATCACATTAAACAATTCCCTTTGATGATATATACAGTATACAAATATACACCAGATTATATCAATTGGTCATGCAATTAGATTAGCAAACTTGAAAACAACAGATTTGTTTATCTGTAAATCATGTATTTAAACTATGGCTATGGTACATACACATCTAGGGATGAATTGCCAGAAATCCCGGGGAAAAGCATACAAATTAAATAAGATTTCCCCAAGGCTTCTAACCCACCAGCACCTCCAGAAAATTGTACTTATATATGGCTCCCAAGATAGCTAGGTTTCTTCAAAGGGTGCTTATATAATTACATTGTGGTGGTTAAGAGTACCAAAAACAATCGTTTAACTTATCCCCAGCAGGTTTTCTCACAAATTAAATTCTTAAGAGAGAGATATAAATTTTACATAATTAGCATAATAATGACAAAGAACGTAAAAATAATATGCATATTTATTTGATATAATACAAGCAATATGTTGATATTCTTGTATTATCATAACAAATACTTTAAACAATCTGTGTGATAACAAAATTTCAATCTACTTGTATAGTAAAAATTACACTACAAATCAGCTCCAAGTCATCACAATTTTGCAATTAGAGGCTCACAATAAAACTTGTAAAATTCCTGTCATGTGTATGGGATCTTGATGCATGTTATTAAAATGGCCGCCGGTGGCCATTTTGTTTTGATTATGCATTTCTAGCCCCATATTTGCCATGCTTTGACTGATTACATGTATGTTCAAATTTCATATATTCATTATAGATCATGTTATAGATATACAGATATATTGTTTTGACTATCTGATTCAAAATGGTCAAATTGTGGCCATTTTTGTGGTAAAATATCATCAAAAATCAAGCATTTCTGGCTTTCTGGAATCGGATTTTGGTCGTTTAAGGGTGAATTTCATTCAAACTTAGTATATACATATAATATGATAGGTTTTAATATTATAAAATCATCATAGTCAAGCATCAGCATCTGGATCCATATCTCTGACAGGATTATGTTTGAAATATGTTACTATAAATTTAAACTATCCATTTTGTGTATTGACAGAATGATAGTATTTTAAAATAATATTTAATGGACTACTGGTCACTTTCTGACAGTGCTAGTAAAATTTGAAAGTTATTTTCCCTGATGTCTAGGACACAATTTTGTGACAAGTGATATTTGGACATAATATTTTATCATTCACATATTTCATGCAAGTAACACAGATTTATAAACTGTCTAATGTGATCACACAGTTGCTGCCCATTGAAATCCTTACTTTACCATTTCTTCATGGTCTAAAAATTGTGATATATTTTCAGAGTGAAACCTACAAAAAAATCCATGAAAGATCTGTGAAGTACCCTATGTTTTTATACCCTATGCCAAGGCAAGAAGGTTATGAGTTCATCATCGCACAGTTTGATGCAAATAACTGTCATTTTACATCGCTTATAAATTACCAAGTAAGTAACTCAAATAATATCCTCTCTAACTAGGAGTTTTCTGGACGATTAAATAAAATGCTGTTTCTACTCAACAAACATGCTCTATTCGGTTAACAAGACATGATGCGATGTGAAATTTTATTTTTGTGAGTGCATCATTTTATTGTACATGTAACCAGCTACATGGTATGTTCAAGAGAGGAATTCTGAAAAACTGTTTTCAATATTACACTCTTCTCTGTTTTATCAGAGTGATATCCATACACTCTTTTCTGTTTTATCAGAGTGATATCCATACACTCTTCTCTGTTTTATCAGAGTGAAATCCATACACTCTTCTCTGTTTTTATCAGGGTGATATTCCTACACTCTTCTCTGTTTTATCAGAGTGATATCCATACATTCTTCTCTGTTTTATCAGAGTGAAATCCATACACTCTTCTCTGTTTTTATCAGGGTGATATTCCTACACTCTTCTCTGTTTATCAGAGTGATATCCATACACTCTTCTCTGTTTTATCAGAGTGATATCCATACACTCTTCTCTGTTTTATCAGAGTGATATCCATAAGTTCTTCTCTGTTTTATAAGAGTGATAACCATACACTCTTCCCTGTTTTTATCAGGGTGATATTCCTACACTCTTCTCTGTTTTATCAGAATGGTATCCCTACACTTTTCTCTGTTTTATAAGAGTGATATCCATACACTCTTCTCTGTTTTGTCAGAGTGATATCCATACACTCTTCTCTGTTTTATCAGGGTGATATCCATAAGTTCTTCTCTGTTTTATAAAAGTGATATCCATACACTCTTCTCTGTTTTATCGGAGTGATATCTATACACTCTCCTCTGTTTTATCAGAGTGATATCCATACACTCTTCTCTGTTTTATCAGAGTGATATTCATAAGTTCTTCTCTGTTTTATCAGAGTGATATCCATAAGTTTTTCTCCATTTTATCAGGGTGATATCCATAATTTTTTATCAGGGTGATATCCATAAGTTTTCATCAGGGTAATATCTATAAGTTCTTCTTTGTTTAATCAGAATGATATTCATAAGTTCTTCTGTTTTATCAGGGTAATATCAATAAGTTCTTCTCTGTTTTATCAGACTGATATCCATAAGTTCTTCTCTGTTTTATCATGGTGATATCCATTAGTTCTTCTCTGTTTTATCAGAGTGATATCCATGAGTTTGTCTCTGTTTTATCAGAGTGATATCAATAAGTTCTTCTCTGTTTTATCATGGTGATATCCATTAGTTCTTCTCTGTTTTATCAGAGTGATATCCATGAGTTCTTCTTTGTTTTATCAGAGTGATATCCATAAGTCCTTCTCTGTTTTATCAGAGTGATATCAATAAGTTGTTCTCTGTTTTATCAGGGTGATATCCATTAGTTTTCATCAGGGTGATATCCATAAGTTTTCATCAGGGTGATATCCTTAAGTTTTTCTCTGTTTTATCAGGGTGATATCCATAAGTCCTTCTCTATTTTATCAGAGTGATATCCATAAGTCGTTCACTGTTTTATCAGGGTGATATTCATAAGTCCTTCTCTTTTTTATCAGAGTGATATCAATAAGTTGTTCTCTGTTTTATCAGGATGATATCCATAAGTTTTCATCAGGGTAATATCTATAAGTTCTTCTTTGTTTAATCAGAATGATATTCATAAGTTCTTCTGTTTTATCAGGGTAATATCCATAAGTTCTTCTCTGTTTTATCAGAGTGATATCCATGAGTTTGTCTCTGTTTTATCAGAGTGATATCAATAAGTTCTTCTCTGTTTTATCATGGTGATATCCATTAGTTCTTCTCTGTTTTATCAGAGTGATATCCATGAGTTCTTCTTTGTTTTATCAGAGTGATATCCATAAGTCCTTCTCTGTTTTATCAGAGTGATATCAATAAGTTGTTCTCTGTTTTATCAGGGTGATATCCATTAGTTTTCATCAGGGTGATATCCATAAGTTTTCATCAGGGTGATATCCTTAAGTTTTTCTCTGTTTTATCAGGGTGATATCCATAAGTTCTTCTCTATTTTATCAGAGTGATATCCATAAGTCGTTCACTGTTTTATCAGGGTGATATTCATAAGTCCTTCTCTTTTTTATCAGAGTGATATCAATAAGTTGTTCTCTGTTTTATCAGGGTGATATCCATAAGTTCTTCTCTATTTTATCAGAGTGATATCCATAAGTCGTTCACTGTTTTATCAGGGTGATATTCATAAGTCCTTCTCTTTTTTATCAGAGTGATATCAATAAGTTGTTCTCTGTTTTATCAGGATGATATCCATAAGTTTTCATCAGGGTAATATCTATAAGTTCTTCTTTGTTTAATCAGAATGATATTCATAAGTTCTTCTGTTTTATCAGGGT